GTTGCTCGGTCCCTGCTCCTGCCAACCTAGCAGTTCGAAAGCACGTCAAAGTGCAAGTAGATAAATAGGTGCTGCTCCGGCGGGAAGGTAAACGGCGTTTCCATGCACTGCTCTGGTTTCACCAGAAGCAGATTAGTCATGCTGGCCACATGACCCGGAAGCTGTACACCAGCTCCCTCAGCCAATAAAGCGAGATGAGCGCCGCAACCCCAGAGTCGGTCACGACTGGACCTAAAGGTCAGGGGTCCCTTTACCTTTTTACATGCTGGGGAAATCCTCAACTGACTGAGTGTTTGTGTCCCACTGGCTACCAGTCGATGCAGGCTTCCTGGGGCAGGGCTACTGTCGCATGCTGGCAGCTTCTCGGAGGCACATGTGAGAGCTGAATGCAAGGGGGGTGTGTGTGGCAAATGTGGACAAGCTACCCCAGAAGGAGGTACTACCCCTACCCTAACACCCCATACACCCTACGTTTTGTAGCAATACCATCAAATATACTCTTTCTCTTTCGATGGCAACTACTTACATAGATGTAAATAGTTGGGGACACCACCATGAACATGGTTTAACCTGTTATGTTCTGTATTTCCTAGGAGATTTCCTGCGTCCCCAGCCATTGCAACTGAAAGTCTGCTGCTATCTGCATGCATAACTGCACCCTAGATTTTGTTTCTGGGCACAACAGAAGTGAGTAGGAATACTGGCATCTGGCTTTTATATGCCTATTACACTCTTTACTATATTGAAGAACACAATAGTGGTGCAGAGCAAGTTGTTAGCTTTTCCCATTTTACAGGGGGCAGGGAGGGGGAAGGAGGAATTGAGGCAGCACTGATGTGACTGGCCCCCAAACCGTGCAGCATTTTAGAGTCAGAACTCTGCTCCCACCCTACTCACCAGACCACACTTGCCCGATAAGGAAACTCTGTGTAAAATCAAACATTTGCACATGTCATATCCAAATATAAATTATCCCAGTGCAGGATATATTACATCATCTACTTTGAATTCAAAATAAGATTAGTCACTTTGGAGAGACACGGCCACATCACTAAAGAAGTTGTCCCTTGACGAAAACCAGGGGCGTTAAAAGAAAGCGAGGGATGGACACTAACTCTTCCCAAAATAAGCTGCTCCTTGAAAATGTTTGTAGAATATCTGAAGCATCATTGTAAACAGGTCAAAATGTTATCAATGTAAATTCAGCAGTGTAAATTAACCAGAGATACAATGAGAAAGGGAAATTTAAAAAATATGGAGTAATTAGAATTTGCAGTAGTAATAGATAATTAAAATGAACCATGGAAGGGGGAAGGGAAGTCAATGTATGGGTGTAATGGTTAATGTATGAATTTGAAAAAAATGTAATTGAGAAGTAAAAAGAAGTTGTTCCTCCCCCATTGAATCATGAGCTGCCTGACTCTGTAACATACACATCTCTCCAGAAGTCTGCTTCATAAAAGAGAGGTTCCAAGTCTCAAAAGCACATGGAAACCACTTCCTGCCATCTACTTATTCTGTCCCCTTACTCATTTCATATGTGTCTTGGATGCCTGTGACCCCATTTAGCTACTCTGTGCTGTCTCTCTGTAGGATCAGCTTGCCTGGTATCATCTATTCTGACTGGCAGCAGCTCTCCAGGGTCCTTGGTAGATGTCCTTCCCAGTCCTGATACCTGGGGTCCTTTTGTAACTGGACATGCAGGCTGTGGGATAATAGAATTGTAGAGTTGGAAGGGACTCTGAAGGTCATCCAGCTCAACCCCCTGCAAATGCAGGAATCTCAGCTAAAGCATCCATGACCAACTTCTGCCTCCCAACCTCTAATGTAATGTGAAAATATGTTAAACTGGAACCTTTGTCCCTGCAAGGATACATGTACACTGAGCTGGGTAGTTGGGACTGCTTGTATGAAACGGAAAAGGGTTTTCAAAAGCTGTTTTGGGAGCAAGGATTTGGAAGAGGAATCAATATTTGACTGAATGGTTTTCTCTCTTAGGGCTCCCCCCCCCCCGCTAATGTTCTGTTGTACTTCTGCAAACCTTGAGGCTTCCCCAGTCCCCCTTGTTTTGGGTGGATGGTGCCATTTTGGCTGCATAAGCAATGACAATCACCTCTGGGTATCAGAAATTAGAGGGAGTAACTGCCTGTTTCTAGAACACGCATTATGAATCGTTTAACAGTCAGAGCAGGTGCATTTTTTGGATTACATTCCAGGGTGCTTAGAATTGTAACATAAAGTTCACAGCATGTATGGCACTGAGAGAAAATACCTGGAAGATGCTATATAGATGGTACCACACCCCTGTGAAACTGGCCAAAATGTATAGATTAAAGGACAAGAGATGCTGGAAATGTGGCGAGGTGGAGGGTGACTTATATCATTTATGGTGGACATGTAAAAAGGTGAAAGGCTTTTGGGAATCAATTTATAATGAACTTAAAAAAATATTTAAGTATACCTTTCCCAAGAGGCCTGAAGCCTTCTTGTTGGGAATGATGGATAAAGAAATTAAAAAGGAAGATAGGATGATATTCCTCTACGCCACCACAGCAGCGAGAATTATGTTGGCACAATATTGGAAAGTGGAAACTATCCCCAACATAAAGGACTGGCAGATTAGAATGGTAAACTATGCTGAGCTTGACAAATTAACAGGTAAAATAAGAGATCAGGATGAACAGAAATTTCTGAAAAATTGGAGCAAATTTTGGAAATATATTGGAATAAATGTTTAAAGTGAACTGACTGGGTTAGAACAATACGACCAGCGAGTGAATTCAAGACTATAGATTGAAAATCAAATACGTAATGGAAGGAGATATTTGATACTTATCAAAAGGATGGAAGGAAGTTCAGATTGTGTGTTTTTCTTTTTTCGGATGAGTGTTTTTTTTCTTCTTGTTTTTTCTCTTTTCTTTGTAATTTTCTCTTTGTATTTTCTTATATGTCTGTTTTTGTGTATAACTTCAATAAAAATGCATTTAAAAAATAAAAATAAAAATAGAAGGATCAATATAGAATCCTGCTGTACTTATCAAGAGAAAACTAATCATATAATGATGTGCATATAAACACCGTGTAGTGATATGAATAATTTTACCCTATTTCCACACATGGTCAGAGATGTGTAGAAGTGGAAGTGTGCTAAATTTTCCCTTGCCAGGAGGATCTGAACAAGTGGTTTGTTGATCAAGAGGTCAACAAGTGCAAATTGTAGTAAGTTACTGTGATATGTGGTCATTCGCATTTACCCAAAGAAGGATTAAAAGGGTGGTTTTGTTTATGCAGGAATAGGAGCATTCTGATCCTTGTTTGATTGTTAAAGAGTTCATGATGATTATTCTGGATTAATCCAAAGTAAAAAGAAGGAGTGAGCTTGCGATCTTTTAAATATGTCAACACACTCATCTATTTTCAGCAAGCAGGATTTAAGCATCAAGCTATGCCAAATCTTTTCAGGAAAAAATCACCTGCAGCCTTTAGCCTGAGTTCACTCTGCTGGAACTAGATAGTCCCAAAAGGTGGGGCAGAGGGGGAAGAGGACACTTTGCAGGACTAGAATTTACAGGTAGGCTTGGCCTGGACTCCAAGCCCATTACCATGAGGTTGAAAAATTCAGGCTAACATGCTAGACATGGAACTAAATGACAGCAAAGTACAGTATTTAAAAACAGGCCTTTCTGTAGCATGGTTGGGGAGGTGGTTACAAGTTTGCATTGGACTCCACGCTTGGGCACTGAATAGCCTTTCTATTCCTAGGCTGGCCAACTTGCTGGGTAATGCATCTGGCCAGAGGACAGAAGCCCCGTTGAGCTCATGAAGCAAGCATTATTCAGTGCGTTCATGGATGCACTTGCGACAAAATAATACCCAAAACGTTTCAGGTTGGAGAGCTTTCCCACCCCTACGCAACGGCAGGTCTAAATGCGAACGAACCAGGGCTTTACCACGCGCCCTTTGCTGAGCAACCAACTTTCAGTGCGGACTACGCGGCAGACAGTGGCGATCAAAGCGCAGAGCAAGTGTTCACATTGCCATGTGGGAACACTGCCAGGCAAACAGAAGTGTTTCCAGACAGGCTTTTTGAGCATGACTCCTGGCACACCTCACGAAAGTGAAGGTGCCTCTGAGCATTCTTCTTCTTCTTATTTTGTTGTTGTTTAGTCGTGCCCGACTCTTCGTGACCCCATGGACCAGAGCACGCCAGGCACTCGTCTTCCACTGCCTCCCGCAGTTTGCTCAAACTCATGCTGGTAGCTTCGAGAACACTGTCCAACCATCTCGTCCTCTGTCGTCCCCTTCTCCTTGTACCCTCCATCTTTCCCAACATCAGGGTCTTTTCCAGGGAGTCTTCTCTCCTCATGAGGTGGCCAAAGTATTGGAGCCTCAGTTTCAGGATCTGTCCTTCCAGTGAGCACCCAGGCCTGATTTCCTTCAGAATGGATACATTGGATCTTCTGGCAGTCCATGGGACTCTCAAGAGTCTCCTCCAGCATCATAATTCAAAAGCATAATTCAAATTATTTACTGAATTTATATACCGCCCTATATCCGGAGGTCTCAGGGCATGTTCAGAGCGCCTTGGCCTTGCCGGTGTGTGAACATGGACCAGCAGCCCGTAGAATGTAGCGAAGGCGAGGGCACGTCTGAGCACGTGCAGAGTGCAAGCACCTCGGGCCCTGCGAACGACTACCGCCGCCGCCGCCAGCCTTGTTCGTGGGAACAAGGCCCGATTGCCCGGCGGGCCTGAGCCCCGGCGTCTCCCGTGTCCGAAGCGGGGCGCTGCTGCCGCCGCCGCCGCCGCTGTACCCTTGGCGAGCGGCTTTCTGCTGACATTGACAGGGCGCGCGCCGGTGCCTCTCCGCGCCCCGCCCTCCCGGGCCTTGCGTCACGGCCGCTCGGCCTTATGGGAGTCGTAGTGCGGCGGGCGATCGGGCTTGGTAGGCAGCGCCCCCGCGAAGAACTACAAATCCCAGGCGGCGCCGGGAGGAAGGTGTGCGCGGAGCTGTGCTGTGGGCAGAGCAGAGCAGAGCCCAGCCGAGTCCATCCAAGCCGGGAGTGTCGGGGCTGGAGAGCTGCTGTCGCTTCTGCGAGCCGCGGGGCGCACAGACACAGCGCAGGGCGCAGGGCTGCGCTGCTTGGGGCGGGCGCGGCTCGCCTCCCTCGCCTCTCCGTCCCTCCCTCGCTCCCTCGCCTCGCCGGAGACATGCAGGCGGAGTCGGGGATCGTGCCGGACTTTGAGGTCGGCGAGGAGTTCCACGAGGAGCCCAAGACCTACTATGAGCTGAAGAGCCAGCCGCTGAAGAACAGGTGAGCGGGGGGGGCTCTGCGGTCCGGGGCGCGATCCTCCGTCCGTCGCCACCCCCACCCTTTCCCTCCAACCGTATACAGTATATAGTTATCTTCCTTTGCCCTTCTTGCCAGAGCAGGACCGTCCAGCCTCTTCTCCCCACCCCCTCCCTGCGCCACTCTGGACTAAATCTGGAAGGGCGACCTGGCCCTGCTTGTGTGAACTCGAGGACGCGGGTGCAGATCCGCAGCCCATCGCCAACCTTTCTGGAGGAATTGCGGGTGGGAGAGTGCTACAGCAACCGGGCGCCTTTTTTTTACTGCCCTAAGCCCCTCCTTTCTCTTTCTCTCTGCAAATTCCCCCTTCCTTCCAACTTTCCTCTCTCTTGCACCCCCTATGCCTTTCCCCCATCTTTCCGACGCCCCCCCTTACAACGCCGTGTCTCCCCATACCACCCTCCCCACCCCGTCAAATAATCTCCTCTCGCTTCTCCGGGTCGAGGCGCCTCGCCTTCTGCGCAGAACCTCCTGTCCCAGCTGTCATTCAAGCCCCTTGACCGAAGTCGGGGTGTGTTGTTGTTGTTGTTGTTTGCAAACCCAAGCCGTTGCCCGGTGTCCGGGAGTCCCCCTCCCTGCGACCCCCTTCTCCTCTTCTGCCTCCGGGGAGAAAGAAGGAGAAACTTCACCGCAGGACGACAACAACAACAACGCACACGCATGCTTCGCTCACTTGGCGGGTGGGGGAAATGACAGGTCGTCGTTTGCCCTCCGCCCCCTTCTTCCCTGGCTGCGCCTGGGGAGAGTATCCCTCTCCGCCTCTGGCTCCACTTCTTTTGCTCCGACACCTCAGAGCAGTTTGCATAGGCTCCCCCACCTCCCCTTTTGGGTTTTCTTTTCTTTGCAAAGGGGTGTGTGTGTGTAAGTAATGTGTGTGGGCTGGCACGGCTCCGCAGGGTGCCAAGGCGGAGGCGTCGGCGTCGGCGCACATTTCACTTAGGTGCGAGAAGCGTGCGTGGCAAAACAGACCGAGGGTGTCAGCAGCTCGTGAGCACGCCTGCTCCCCCCCCCCCGCGTTGGGGCTATTTGTTGGTGTCTCTTTTTTGGGGGGGGGAAGAGAGAAGAGGAGGAGGAGAAAAGAGGGGAATGTTACAGAAGAAATATATACCCAGCAACTATGTGCCTGCTGTTTACTTCTGTGCTGCTGAATCAGGCTGTTTGTAAAAGTTTTTTTTTTTTTTTTTTGCTAAATACATTGAAATGAAACATCTTTTTACAGATTGAAGCTATATAAAGGCAGCCATTTAGCGAGTGGTTCCTGCCATAATAGCAGTTTTGTTTAGTGTGTGTTACTGTTTGGGCGAGGGAGGAGGGGCCAAGCCCTGTGGCTGGTATTATGTAAAGGGTATTGTTAGACATTCTCACCAGAGGCATTATCTGGCCTTGACTAGGAGTTACAGACTTCCACTAATAGTTAAATGGGTATGAAGCAAAGCAGAGCGGAGAAGGAACGGCTCATCTTCCCCCACCCCTTTTCCTTGTAGTGAATGTCCCGAACTGGTTGATTCGGGCAGATTTTTGAATTGCAATACTTTTCTATATTGTTGAATTGTGAGCTTTTCATCCAGGAGTGGCCATGTAAATAAACACTGTGGGTTTTTGGGGTTTTTTTAGGGGGGTGGGTAAGGCAAGGTTCTGGAATGTTTCAGATGGATGGGCCAGATTGTATTGTATGAGGATAATGAGCTAGAGCCATGAAACTAAATAGTGCTCTTTACTTTCTTCCAAAGTATGCATTACACTATTACATTTGTGCTCCATGTAAATGTTGCTAACTCACGGCAGATTGAAAACTAGAAGCGCATGCACTTGCATTATAGGTAGATTCAAGCTCAAGTAAATATAAAGTCAAGAGTTTTAAAACTCTTAGAATTGCTGCAAAGCGGAAATAAAAAGGGGCTGCTTGGTCAGCTTCTCTTTTTGTGCAGGTCCACAATAAATATAATAGACCTTATATCTGGTGCATATTTAGATGTTCTGCTGTTGCTGCTCCTATTCCTGTTACTCCGATGTGAATGGAGGGATGTTTGTGGAACTGTTTTGTTTGGCATGATGAAGAGGAGCAACTTTGTATGGCATGGCCACATTCCGTACTGTGCCTGGGAGTATTAGAGGAAGGCCAGGCCAAGCTATGTTACTGGGGAGGGGGGCAAACTTTTCCAGCTCAAGGGCTGCATTCCCTCCTGTGCAATCATGGGTACGGGGTACATCCCAGTGGCGGGTACAGAAGTGGTGTGACTTCTATCTCTGTACTGTTACACAAAAGCCACAGGTTTCTATACACACACGTTGTATCCAGGCAAGCAATAGGTATTATCGTACTTAAAAGCCACATTCTAGACAGGCAACGCGTTCAAGGAAGGCATGCCCAGTTGGTAGTTTGAGCCCCATGTTGGGCAAAATATTCTTGCATGGGGGGGGGGGTTTGGACTAGATGACTCTCGTGGTCCCTTCCAACTCTACAATTCTATAATTCTACATCAGGCATGTCCAAAGTCTATTTCGGGGGCCTAATCCGGCCTGCTGGTCGATTTAGTCCAGCCCCTGCGGCAGTATATGTCCTGGGGTAAAATCCTAAAAAAAGCTCAGCAACTTCAATCCTTAAAAAAGTCAACAACTTTGTGGTAAAATTGTAAAAAAAAACCTCAGCAACTTCAGTCCTAAAAAAAGCTCACAACAACTTTGGTCGGCCCTCATGCATGTTCACTTCATGAAATCTGGCCCTCTTTGAAAAATGTTTGGGCACCCCTGTATGCAACCTCTCTTTCCGATGTGTCACCTCTTCTTTCCCCACCCTTTTGAGCCTGATTTGCATTGGGGATTTTAATTTTTTTTGGTGCCATATGCATGGATCAGGCCTATCTATGGCTTTCGAGTTTGGCTGTTTTGTGATCTCCTCTCCCTGTGCGTTTTACACCTGGCAATGTCAGTGTGGGTTTGAAGGGTAGTGTTAAGCCCCAGGAGAGTGAAAGCAGTTTCCTCCAGACCAGCTATTGTGCCTAGAGGGATCTGGGACAGGATCTGGGACAGGAACGCCTTTGTGGACTTGCAGCCTAACCACCTTGGGGTTAACTTGGATAGGCCTTCTGTGCAGATCTTGAATATGCAGGCCATGGGGTCATGACACTAAGCCAGGCATGGACTACAATTCCCAGCAACCCTAGCATGTGCAGCGCCTATGACCAATGGTTGGGGTGATGTGAGTCAACATTTGAATGCCCTCTCTTGGTAGCTATCCCTGGCCTACCCCTACTGGCACAGCTCTTTGTGATTCTGGACAATAATATTTTCCAGCTTTACCTGGAGATGCTATGGATTGAGTTGAGGACTTTTTTTGTGTGTACGCAGAAGTTGGTCTACTGCTGGGCAACATTCCTTGAAGAAAGGTGGAAACTGTTTTTGTAATTGTGATCTATTTGCTGAAATTTAAATACTACTACTACTACTATTGTTGTTGTTGTTGTTGTTGTTATTATTATTATTATTATTATTATTATTATTATTATTATGTGAACCACCCTGAGACCTGTGGTTATAGGGCGGTATATGAATTCAATAAAATAAATAAATAAATAAATAAATAAAAATAAAAAAATTTATTTTTCAGTTTAACAACAACGATTCTACATAAAACAATACATACATACATACATACATACATACTGATTTTGACTTTCCTCCTCCCATTGCCTGGTTTCTTGTAAAATCATTTTCAAAACTACATCGCTCCCCTAAATACATTATTAAAACAAAGGATTGAAATAAATGAAATTTACTACCTTCTCTATGAACATGCATGTGTTTCATGTTCTAAGAGCACTATGAAAGGGGGGGGGGGCTTGTTGAATGTTTCAAGACTCTACTTTGCAGCGTTTTCTTCTTGGCAAGCATGCCGCTTTCAATTGCTTCCTGAATTAAAAGCTGCAGATAGATCTGTCGTGTTCGTGCTGCGCTTGTTTTCCATGGCTTCCTGTTGGATGATCTTGGATAATTCCCCACATATCACTAAACTATGTGCAAAATATTAGGTCCTTTGTAACCAAAGTGTGCTATAGTGTTACATGCTGTGTAAAAAAAGAAAGAAAGATTGGGAATGCTTTTTCTTCAAACGCAAAGAAAAATTAAAATACTTTGTAATACTCCTGCAGTATCCTTGGTCTTCTTTTGAAGGAGAGCGATTCTCATGCTGGAGGTTTTTCCTTTGACCGTGTGGTCTGGGGGTTGAGGTGTGTGTGTGTGTGGAAAGGAGGGCTTATGATGAATTTCATCTAGGCCATAGACTGGGGGCCTACAATCGCATGCTAATGTTGGGGAACTGTGATAAGAACTTAAACTTGTTAGTTTGTGAAACTTCCCTATAAAGCCTGTAACTTCCTAAAGCAGAGATAGAGAATCTGTGGCCATGTGCTTGGGACTGTACTGCCCATCACCACCAGCCAGCATGGCCATTGGTCAGGGATGATGGGAGTTGTAGTCCAACATTTAGAGAGACATGGTTCATCATCTGGAGGTGCCTATCACGGCCCAAAAGCCAACAAGAGAAATGTGATCTCAGTGTGACATATCCAAGTAATGAATAAGATGAGAACAGCAAAGCACTTTGTTTATTTAAAAAAAGTGCTGTAGAAATTAATAACAATGATAAATATGGATCTTTTTTTGTTGTCAGCAGTCTCTAAATCTGATCTGAAAGCAAGCCAAGTCACTATGTTGTTTTTGTAATTACTAACTCTTTTGAAGTATTGCTGTTTCTGGGAGTACGTTTTCAATTAAAAACTGGGTACCTGGGCTACACGAAACTCTTTGAGACAGCAATCTGCTCTCTTAACATTCTGAAAAAGAGCCACACACACTGATGATGCTGTATAAATGGAAAATATTGCAGACTTGAATCAATATAAATGCTGACTGACTTAATTTGGCAGTTGTTAAGTAGGCTCACTGTGGGAAACGAACAACTCATC